CTATATCTGAGAGAAAAGAGAATGAAACTCTGAAAGCCTGAGGCAAACACAGAGAGGGTCAGCGTTAAACATAGGTCAGTACAACTAGCTAAAACAACAAAAACTTATAGTTGGCTGGACAGATAGCACCTGCTTAGGCAAGAGCAGGGACCAGAGTTTGATCCCAGGGTATGCTGAGATGGTGACTGAGACTGGGAATGGTTGTGCACACCTGCAGTCCCAGCACTTGCGAGGCTGAAAATAGGAAGAACACTATGAGTCTGATCTACATAGTGAGAACCTGTAGATCTTGTACTTAATACATAGAAAAAAACTTCATAGTTATTGCAAGGTGGACTATTTAGTCTAAACTTGACTCCTCCCACACAACAGGCTAGATTTTGAGAAAATAGGACTTCAAGAAACACCATATCTCAGAGAGGAAGAGCCTGGAGCCATTCTGAGAAAGGGCTAACCCTGTGGATTGACATGCTCCAAAGGCCAAAAGTCATGGACTATTCACTGCTCAGAGTCCCTGAGGACACCTGGTCACAATGACTTGATGGGTGACAGTTTCAAAAGGGAAACATGGACACAAGAAGTGTCTACTACAGACCCTGTGAGAAGTTTCTGCAGCTGTGAATTCATGCTGTAGAAATAGAACACTAGGTTCAGAAGGACTGCCCCCTATGCCAAGATGAGAATTATACTTGCTGTCCATGACTATGGAAGGCAGCTTGGTCTAAAAAAGTCAAGACTGAGTCCAGGGGATTTCTTGGCTCCCATGGGCACTGGCTCCTTCATCAAAGATTGCAGGTGTCTATTTGCTTACCAGTCAAGTAGACTCCTCTGCTGAAACCTGCTTAGGTGTGTGGACAGTGTGGAATCTGTGGGAACGAGATTACTTAACATTTCCACACAAGGAAAATTAGAACTGGCTCAACTCTCACAAAGCACCAGCCTCTCACTTACCTCAGAGAGAAAATGCAAGAGGGATAGATGCAAATCATCATGTGCTCAATACCTAGAATGGAGTATGACACTTGAGATGTTGAAGAGAACAGAACCATTGAAATCTATGTACTTTTTTATTTTTTTAAATAATTTTATTGAGAAACAAATAGCAATCAGAAAGTCTCAAAACCAATTAGAAGGACAGTTTCAATAATTAATACATCGCATATTGTTGTCTTCTTAGGGGTTATTCATAGTGAAACCCTGAGAAAATGTTTTCTGTCGATGTGGCTCTCAGTAGGCAGACTCTCCATCATCAATCAATTTCCTCTGTGGCCCCATAACCTCCTTGAACAGAAAATTAGGGACATAACTGAGTTACATGATGTAACACAGAGTTTCACTTATGACTTGAGTCCTCACAGAACTTGAAAGGCTAGGGCCAAAGTGTTGGCTAATCTTGAAGCACTTCTTCATGAATTTTTGTTCTGATACTTAGGTTGTTGACCCCCAGAAAAGAAGCTTATTATTATTATTATTATTATTATTATTATTATTATTAATTACCCTACAATACAGGCAGTTGAACTTAATGTCACGGTCTGAATATCAAACATCTTGGACAAAACAAGAAACAGGCATTTTCTGTCAAGTATTGATATGTTAAACTTTTGTCCCTCCAGAATACAAAGGCAAAAATTTAAAAATTTTTTAAAAATAGGAATAAACAATTAGATATTTATGCACAGAAATTTAGACATCTAACCATATGCAGCATTACAGCAGGACAATTCTCTGATTTTTTTTCTTGTATCTTGTTTTCATTTATTACCTTTTTGGTTAAACCTTTACTTGAGAGACAGTATGACAGTAATTGGTATGACAGGACAAGCAGTACATATTTAGAAGGCAAGAATGACAGGCATTCCAAGCACGGCCCTAGTATTACACATTGCTAACTTCAGTGCAGGTGTTTAGTTCACAGGTATAAGCATATACAGTTAGTCAGGTTAAGAATCCTGCCAATTTACTGCTAATTTCAAAAACCTACTCATGATTATCAGGATTATTGCCTTACTTGTCTTCTGCCTATAAATGTATGGCTTTGCCCCTGTCATGCTTCCTAGCTTTTCTCCTTGCCTTCCCTTTGTTGTCTTTTGTTGTGTAATCCTTAAGTTCCCACTTTCCTTTTATTTGTTGTATTTTCTATTTTTATTTCTTCTTTTGAGCTCTTACACTTGGAACACTATACAATATTTACACATGGTGGTCTGTTTTTTTTTTTTTTTTTTGCACTTATGAATATATCTTTCAGTGACATCTACTTAAATATGAATGCTTTGAATTTATTGCACTTTATAGCTGAGTAATACTCCATTGTATAAAAGTATTACATATTTTTCATTCATTGCTCAACAGACAGGCATCTTGGTCATTTCCAAGATTTGGCTATCAAAAATTCTGCTGCTATAAACCTAGGTACATAAATATCACTATGATATGACATTTTCAGAACTTCTGGGAAAATTCAAAATAGGGGGATAGCTTGCTTGAATGAGATTTCCAATCCTAGTTATTTAAGGTGTCTCCACACTGATTTACATAAGGGTTGTACCAGTATATATTCTCATGAGCAGTGGAGGAGGGTTCCATTTTCCCCACAGCCTCTCCAACATTTGTTGTTGGTTGATTTCTTTATGATAGCCATTCTTTCTGGGGTGAGATGGCATCTCAGTGTTTCTTTAATTTGCATTTCATGGATGGCTAATGATGTGGATCATTTTTTCAGATATTTATTTGCTTCTCTAATTTTGTCCTCTGAGAAGTGTGTGTTCATCTCAGATGTCCAATTCTGGATTGGGTCCTTAAATTTTGGGGTCTAATGTATTTTAGTTCTTTATAAATTCTAGAGAGCAGACCTTGGTCTGACTGCTTACTAGTTAAGATTTTTTTCCAAATTTGTGGGTTTTTATTTGACTTTGTTGGTAATTTCTTTGGGGGGTGCAAAAAAAATCTCAATAAGAGGATGTCACACTTGTTAATTTTTCAAGAATTACCTGTGTGACTTGATTTTCGTTCATGAAATGTTTTCCTACCCCTATGTCTTCAAGAGTTCCTCCTACTTTCTCTTCTAGGAGATTTAGTGGTTCTGTTTTAATGTTTAGATCTTTAATTCACTTTGACTTTAGCTTAGTGCATGGTGATAGACTTGTGTAAAGTTATACTTTTTGGCATATAGAGAGCCAGTTTTTCCAGCACAATTTGATAAGGAGGCTATCTTTCTTCCAGTGAGCATGTTTGAAATCTTTGCTGAAAATAAGGTAGCTGAGTGTGTTCATAAAGGCTTCTGAATCTTCTAATCAATTTCATTGATCTTCAGGTCTATTTTGTTGCCAATACCATGCTGACTTTATCCCAGTAGCTTTGTAGTATAATTTCAAGTCAGGAATTGTAATGCCTCCTGCCTTGTCTTTGTTGCTCAGGATTTCCTTTGCTATTGTAGGTCGTTTCTTTTTTCAAACAAATTTTAGTAACAATTTCTCTAGGTCTGTGAGGTATGTTGGTGGTAGTTTGATAGAGATTGCATTAAATATGCACAACAATTTTGGGAGTATGTCCATCTTCACAATACTCATTCTTCCTAGTGAGGAGCAGGTAATATCTTTATATTTTCTGAAATCCTCTATGATCTCTTTTTTCAGAGTACAGTAATTTTCATTTAGTAGATCTTTGACTACTTTAGTTAGATTAATTAAAAGGTATTTCATTTTTGGCATTGCTATTGTAAAAGGTATTGTTTCTCTAATTTCACTCAGTGTGTTTGTTGTCTGTGTAGAAGAATGCTATTGAATTTTGGTATTAACTTTGTATGTTGCTAAGGTACTGAGTTTGTATATCAATTCTAATAGTTTCTTGGTGGAGTTTTTGAGTTTTCCAAGTAAAGTCATCTGCAAATAATAATAATTTAACTTCTTCTTTACCCTTTCTTATTTCTTTTTTCTCTCTTTTCTAATGGCTCTAGGTAATGTTTCCAGAACTGTATTGAGTAGGAGAGGTTTTATAGGACATCCTTGTCTTTTACAGGTCTCAGAATAAAAGATTTCAGTTTTCCCCCATTTAGAATTATGTTAGCCACTGTGTAGTCAAAAATGGCTTTTATCAGATTGAAGTAGAGGCATTCTGTTCCAATTTTCTGAAGGACTTTGAATATGAATGAATATTGCACTTTGTCAAAAGCCTTTTCTGCATCAGTTGAGATGATCATGTATTTTTCATATTTGGCACTATTGATATAGTGTATTAGATATATAAATTTGCATATATTGAACCATCCTTCCATCCCTGGGATTAATCCTACCTGGAGTGTAATTTTCTTGATGATTTGATGTATTCCATTTGATAGGCTTTTAATGAGGTTTTTGCATCTATGTTCAAGAGGGAGATGGCCTGTAGTTCTGTTTTTTAGTTGTATCTTTCCCTGGTTTTGGTATCAATATAATACTTTCATTCAGGAATAATTTTTCGGAGTATAGCTTCCTTTTCTACTTCATTGAGATTTTGAGGAGTATAGGGATTATATCTTCTGTAAATTTCTCGAGGAACAGCTGTGACTCCATCAGGACCTGGACTTTTGCTTCTCCATAGGTTTTTTATTACATTTCATTTTTCATTGGCTGCTCTTGGGTTATTAATAGCTCTTATATCTTCTTGATTCAGTTTTGGTAATTTGTACCTTTCTAGGAATATGTCCATTTTTTCTGTGTCTTCTATTGTGTTACAGTAAAGATTCCAAAAGTAGCTGCCATCAATCTTTTGAATTTCCACTCCATGTGTGGTTTTTACAGCTTTTCATTCCTTATTGTTTGTATTGGAATTTTTTCTCTCCTCTTTTTGATGAGGTTAGCCAGGGACTTATTGATTTTATTTAATCTTTTAAAAAAACAGCTTTTTGATTCGTTAATAATTTGAACTGTTGTCTTCATTTCTATTGAATCAATTTTTGCTCTAATCTTTACGATATTTTCCCATCTTTGGCCTTTAGGTTTACTTTACTCTTCCTTTTCTAGATGTTGGAGGTGCAGCTTGTGGCTGTTCCTGTTCTGTTTTCCTAATGTGTGTTTTCCTGCTGAGGGGAAAAAACTCCTGTTTTCCTACACATCTATAAATTTACCTTTGAGAACTGCTTTCATCGCATCCCATAAATTCTGATAAGTTGTGCTTGAATTTTCACTGAATTGTAGATATTGTTCCATTTCTTGTTTAATTTCATCTGCAACCCATTGCTTGCTGGGGAGGGTGTTATTCAATTTCTATGTACTTATGGGGTTTTTCTGGGGGTTTTGCCATTTATTTCCAGTTTCATTGCACTCTGGTCAGATAATATGTATGAGATAATTTCTGTTTTCTTGCATATACTTAAGCATGGCTATGGACAAATACGTGGTCTACTTGAGAAAATGACCAACATACAGCTTTCAAAAATGTGTGTATAGCAGTGGTTGGGTGGAGCACTCTGTATTCGTCCACTATGTCCATTTTTTCCAAACTCTGTTTTGGTTCTACTACTTCTTTCCTAATTTTTTGTCTCCTTGGCATATCTTTTCAGCATAAGGGGGTGTTAAAGTCTCCTGTTAAGATTGTGGTGTTGGATATTAGATGTTTCGCGAACATTAAGATTTATCTTGTATAGTTTGGTGCTCCCATGTTTGGTGTATACATATTTATGAGTGTTACCTCTTCCTTTTGAAATTTTCCCCTCAGCAGCATATAGTGGCCTTCTTTATTTCATTTGTTCATTCTTGGTTTGACATTGAGCTTGTCTGTGAAAAGATTAGCTACCCTTACTTTTTCTGAGGTCTTGGGGGCATGTAGTGTTGTTTTCTGTCCTTTAACTTTGAGCCTATGAATGTCCTTATGAGTTAAGTGTGTTTCTTGTGTACAACATATTATTGGATTTTGTTTCCTAATCCACTGTTCCAGTCTATTTCTCTTAATTGGTGAATTGAATCCCTTTGCATTGATGGTTATAAGTGTGATGTATTATTTTGCAATTGACATGTTATTGATTTCTGTTGTTTATTCCTTTTTTACCTAAGTTTAATTATTTGCCCCATTTAGTGGGTTCTTTCTGTTCTCATTCATGGACTTCTGATCCTTTTGGTCAGTGTGTGGAACATCTTTTAGGAGTCTGTGTTGTGTTGGCTTTGTCATCATGAAATTCTTTAGTTGTTCTTTGTAATGGAAATATTTTACTTCTCCATCAAACTTGAGAGTTTTGCAGGGTATATTAGTCTCAGCTGGAATTTGTTTTCATAAAGGACTTGAAGTACTCTGCACCATGCTCCTGTTGATTTTATGGATTGTGAGGAAAAGTCTGCCATTATTCTGATGAGTTTTTCTGTAAATGTGATGTGCTTCTTTTCTCTAGCGACTTTCAGTATATTGTTCTTGTGCTGGATTTCTGTGATTTTGTGTATTTTATGTCTCAGTGTCTTTTTCATTTGGTTGATGTTCTTGGGAGATCTACATGCTTCAGTTACTGAATGTTAGCTTGTTGCCCCATATTTAAGAAGTTTTCTGCTATTACTTTTTTTGTCTTTTTTTTCAAAGTTTTATTGATGAACAGATATCAATGAGACAGTTTCAAATCAAATCGGAAGTACAGTTTCAACAAATAATA